CTAAGTGAAGATTTGGTTGGTTGGCGGGATTTACTGTCTTACCCAAAGACAGCTTTTAAAAGCTTAACTCAAAAATACACATTTCAAGGTGAACAAATTTAAAAACTGGGGCCAGTGCTGTGACATGGAAGGTTAAGCCTCTGCCTGCAGTGCTGGCATGCCATATGGGTGCTGGTCCGAGTGTAGGCTGCTCCACTTCTGATCCAGCTTCCTGCTAATGAGCCTAGGAAAAGCAGTGGAGGATGGCCCAAGTGCTTGTGTGCCTGCACCCACATGGGAGACCCAGAAGGAGCTCTTGGCTCTTGGCTTTGGCCTGGTGCAGCCCTATCCATTGTAGCCATTTGAGGGGTGAACCAGCAGATGGATAGTCTCTGCTTCTATCTTTGCCTTTCAAATGAATATTTAAAAAAAAAAGTTTTAAACCTTTGTAAAAGCACCAGTGAGCGAGTTGTTTGATTTTATGTGAAGGTATAGGCTGTGAAGGTATAGGCATTTTCTACCTTGAGTTGAATATATATTTACATACTTTATATATATAATATATATTATAATTATATACATGTATATACTGTAATTAACTTCAGACACCTGCCTCAGCCTGCTTACTGAGGAGGAACCATTATCATTCAGTCACATGTGTTGAATTCCCAGCATTCTCTGCTTAAAGCTTGGCCTCTGTTCCTGAAGCAATGTAAGCTGAAGAACCAAAGCTGGGCAGTGGCCACTTGTTGTCTCTCCACCTTGTTTCTGTGGCAGGAAAGTTGTAACTCACTGCCACCTTGACCGCATGTCTGTTCGTGGTCAGCTTGGGTGGTAGCCAGGAGATCTGTTCTTGATGCAACTTCTTAGAGCGGCTATTGCAAATTGAAGGGAATAAAACTGGGGAGTCATTAGCCCCTTTGCTTCCTTTTTAGGAAATAGGCCTCACCTCTTATCTGCTGTCACCTTAGTAGTTTTTAGTCAGGGCTGACCATGCACACAGATTATATTATGACTTATGTTACCAGAAACTTTTTTTTGACAGAGTGGACAGTGAGAGAGAGAGAGAGAGAGAGAGAAAGGTCTTCCTTTTCCATTGGTTTACCCTCCAATGGCCTCTGCGGCCGGCGCACCGCGCTGATCCAAAGCCAGGAGCCAGGTGCTTCTCCTGGTCTCCCATGGGGTGCAGGGCCCAAGCACTTGGGCCATCCTCCACTGCACTCCCGGGCCACAGCAGAGAGCTGGCCTGGAAGAGGGGCAACCGGGACAGAATCCAGCGCCCCGACCGGGACTAGAACCCGGTGTGCCGGCACCGCAAGGCGGAGGATTAGCCTAGTGAGCCGTGGCGCCAGCCAGAAATGTTTTTAACTCAACACTTCAGGGACTTGATTACCACATTATGATATGAAATTAGTAGTTTTGGGTCTCATTTTTCCCTAGGAATGTTGAAGATCAATAAAGAAACAGAAAGGAGAAAGGTGTCAGGTGGTCGAATTTTATGGCTGATCAAGGTTTCTTGCCAGAGTGTTGCAAAGACGTTACTCCTGGATTGCAACCAGCCTGGTAGTTCCAAGTACCATCTTGACTACTTTTTTGCATAGATCTTGTCCCTTGTCCTTTTATTATTATTTTTTTTTTTTTTTTAAGATTTATTTGTTTGTTAGAGTTACAGAGAGGGAGAGACAGAGATAGAGATTGTCTATCCACTGATTCAATCCCCAGATGACCGCAACAGCCAGGGCTGGGCCAGACCAAAGGGTGCAGGGGCCCAAACACTTGGGCCGTCTGCTGCTGCTTTCCCAAGTGCAGTAGCAGGGCGTTGGATGGAAAGTGGAGCAGCCGGGACTTGCACCCTTATGGGATGCAGGTGCTGTAGGCTGTGGTTTCACCTGCTCTGCCACAACGCTGGCCCCTCTTTCTATCTTGTTTTTTTTTTTTTTTTAATTATTATTATTATCATTTATTTATTTGAAAGACAGTGTTATGGAGAAGCAGAGAGAGAGGTCTTCCACCTGCTGGTTCACTCCCCAAATGGTCACAACAGCCGGAGCCGGGTCAATCCGAAGCCAGGAGTCTGTAGAGCCGCCAGGCCTATGTGGGATGCCAGCACTACAGGCGGTGGCTTTACCTGCTGTACCACAGTGCCGGCTCCTCTCTCTTTCTTAACATTTCATCATTATAAGTTCATTTTTAAAACACCAACCTTTTCCTGTCCACCTTCAGCCAGTTTGCCTCAGTGGGTGTGGAGGGATGTTGGGGCCGTCGTGTGGTGGCAGAGCTACCCGGTTCTAAATGTAGTATGAAATAATTGGAAACTTGCTAGGGAAAGGGAATCAACAAGCTATTGCATGCTGGACTGTCTAGGAAGGGTCTCTGGTGACTCAACAAGAATCAACTTCCAGACCCCCTCTGGAGCTGCCTGCAGGTGCGACCAGATGACTTGTCTTTATGCGTGGTTGGATGCAGCTTGAAGGTCGAGGGAGAGAGCACTTTCCCAGATTCCTTCATCCCAGTCAACAGAGGTGTTTTATCTTTTGCAGGATTGGATGCGGTCTGGATCGTCTGCAGTGGGAAAATGTATCTGCGATAATTGAGGAGGTGTTTGAAGCTACAGATATCAAAATTACCGTGTACACACTCTGAACAGATGTGCATTTTGGGTGTGTCTGTGACCCCCTGTGTCATCCCTGCTGGGCCATAGGACTGGCAAACTGACCTTAAAACGGGCAGAGAGAAACTTCGTGTGGTTTGTTACAGGCCGGACTTGGGTTGCTGTACTCCAGTTCTTGGACTGTGGGACTCTGGAAGAGGGGTTTTGTGGGTGAGGTGGCCATGTTTTTCACAGGGTCTTAAGGAGTCGGTGGCCTGGTGCTAGACTGGAAAGCCAGTTACGACCTCTCTTTTGCAGTCTGCTGTGTGGGTTGTTTGGCTGGCCACTAGGTGCCAGCATTGATTCTGCTTCTCAGCTTTTTGAGAGAAATTTCAGGCAGGATGAATGTTTGCATTGGGTTGATACCTTTTGTCGTGTGCACTGAATTTGGTATTATCCATAAGTCATCACATTCATCATAGGAGAGAAATGCAGATTTTGTTTCTAGTTACAAAATTGAGTTCTATATTGCTAACAAATTTATGGTGACAAAAACAGAAAATAAATCTTGGGGTGCACTGAAGCTCTGTGCTCATGTCTGTGTTGTTCTGGACTTGAGTAACAGGATTCGGCTGTAACTTAATTTTGAGGCATCATGGTGGTCAGTGGGAAGAGTAACAAGGTGAGAAATATGAATGGATAAGAACCACACATCAGCGTAGCCAAAGGCAGGTTTTCTGGATGTCCTCGTGATGAGCTTTTCCTCTTCTGCCCCATTGTTTCTGAGATTGAACTTGTCTGAATTTTATCATGAAACAAAAGAAATGGTACACGGTACATGTCTGGCAGTGCTTAGCATGGAGAAGTGACTCAGTAAGTCAGTGGTTCTCAACAAAAAAATTTAAAAAAAATTAAGGCCACTTTTTCTTAAAAACTTCTAATTTGGTGGCAGGGTAAGGTAGTCAGGTTTCTCTGTTTTTAACTGCCTCAGCAGATCTTGATACACAGCCAGCTGATCTCAAGAACACTGAGTAAATACTCGTTTACCATTCTTCTGAAGCCAAGAGGACAGGTGCTTTTGTTCTCATGGGGGTCTAAAGTTGATGAAGTTACCAGTGGTTCAGGCCCAGAACTGCTGCCCGGCTAGGCCTCCCCCCGGCCCCCTTCCTGGAGTGGTGAGTTAAAGCCGCTGCCAGACTGCCTATTGATTTTCTCCCTGGGGCCAGTTCCGGGTCCCTCATGGGACTTGCTGTACTCCCAGTGTAAAAGAACAGTAGGCTTTAGAAGGGACTTACTGGACACCAGGAAGGCACTAGTTAAATCTAATCTTTGTACTTTAGACTTGTATTCTTAGCACATTTCAGCCTGATAGGAGGCAGCAGTTTCAAATGTATTTCACTCTGGTATCTGTGTGGAACAGACACGTTCTGTGTGTTGGTATAGGAACAGTGCAGGGGCAAGTTCATTATCAGACTTTTAGACTAAGGCTTTTCTTAAAGCTTTGTTTCTGTCCTCACAAACTTGAAAAGAGGAAGAGAATGTCTAAACAGAAAATTTAAAAAGTGGGGTGATAAATGGACACTTAAAGGAGTATTTTGTTTAATTCTATGCAAATAAATCTCAACACTTGGGTCAAAACATTGGTTTCCTAGACTTCCTTTACTCTTCAAAAAGATTATGGCTAGTTTTTCTCATGGACCTCATGGACTCTGAGCCTTGATTCTTCTAACAGCACCTGTCTCATCGAGGTCGCTGTCAGTGGAATTCTGGATGTGATTAAGTGCTGTGTCATTTGCAGGTAGTCTGGGGTCAGATTCTGGTGACTTACTCATACTTAACGTCTGGAGAAAGGAGACATGGCCTGATAATCAGAACCAACATATTATTCCTGGAAACTTAGAGCTTGGCAAACCACCAGAAATTCACATGTGAATTTTGCTTCCATATAGGACTCAAAACAAATGTTTTAAGAAATGAGTTTTGACATCCTGCTGTTGGGTCAGGTACCTCATACTGAACACTTTTCCATGTTGTATCTGAACATTGAACCCCACCTACTTTTTACCCTCTCCTCTTTAATCATTGCTAATTACTTAGTAATTGGCAACGGTATGTGAGTACCTCATAACAGATTTCTCATGCTTTTTGTTTTTTGTTCCACCCTCTGCCATACTCTTTATCTTCAGAGAAGGGAAAAGGCCCTCACTGACAATCTCAGAAGAATATTTTAATATCAAGGCCACCGTAGGAAGTGTTCACGGGTGATCTCATTAGTATCATACGTTGTCCAGACACGTTCTGGTTTAACCTTTCCTCCCACTTTGTGAGACCTCAGCCTGGTTCACAGCCTAGGATAGCCCTAAGCCTGGGGCTTGCTTACTGTTCCTGAGAACTCCCAGATGTCCCAAGTGCCTTAAAAAACGCGGCCACAGAAAACCACACCGTTTCTTTTATTAATACTGCTGATTTTCTTTCTTAAAAAAACAGAACAACCCAGCTTAACATAAAATGAATTACTGGACGTGTCAAGACTGAGGCTGGCTGCCTCAAGTGCCCCTTTTGGGGCATCCTTAGGCCTTCAGCCCCACAGACACCTGGTGCCCGCAACTGGCTGTCTCTCTCCTACCTTCCTCTTTCCTAACAGCAGCTTTAAAGAGAGAGGCACAGCCTAAGTGAATTACACTGTGAGAAGTATATTTTGAGTCTTCTGAGGGCCTTGTCCAGTAGAATCGGTTGGCATCGTGTGTCCAGCTCCAAGACAGACATGTTCGGGACGGCCATATGTGTCACTGCTGTGGCAGCAGGCAGACCTTGGTCAGAAAACAGAAAACAGCATGTTACTGGAAGCCCTGCCAGCCAAGGTTTCTGTATGCATTCTGCAAGTCTCTCCATCCTGTAGTCTTAAACAGTTTCAGGCTTACTCAGGTTGGATTTATTTCATTCATGTTTTACTGTGGTTCACATAAAAAAAAGAACTCAGAAAAGACCTGCCATAACTCTGCTCTCAAGTTATGTATGTGATTAAATGCTATTCTGTCATTCATTTAAAAACTTGCATTAGGAGCCAGCATCTTGACTTATCAGGTAAGGTCGCTGTCTGTGATGCTCCAGCTCCAATCCAGCTCCCGGCTAACAGACCTGGGAAAAGCAGAAGAGGATGGCCCAAATGTTTGGGCCCCTGCCACATACACGGGAGCCCCAGGTGATGTCCCGGGCTCCTGGCTTCTGCTGGAGTTAGAAGCAGAGACAGATCTTCCATCTGCTGGTTCATCCCCCAAATGCCTGCCACAGCCAGGATTGGGCCATGGTGCAATCGGGAGCTGAAGACTCCATCCGAATCTCCCACGTGGGTGGCAGGCCAAGTCCTTGAGTCATCACTGCCATCCCTGAGGTGTGCATTAGCGGGAAGCTGGATGGGAAGTGGGGTAGCCGAGTCTCCAACCAGGCACTCCGGTAGGGGGAATGAGCGTCCCATGCAGTGACTCCAGCCAGTGAGGCATGTGCCCACCCTCGTCCTTTTAAAAACAAAAGATAGAAAAGATAACAAGGCAGGTCTTATTTAACAAATGCTTACTCCTTGGGATCATTTTAATTAAGGTTATTCTTTTGGGCTTTTAGAGTACAACTATTTCATGCCATTTTTTAAAATACAGTCTAACCTTTACCTTAAGGAGCATGAGCAGCTCAAATAGAGGAGAGGGGAGTATGGTAATGCTAGTCAGATAATAGTTACTTGTGTATGTTAATGGAGCCTACAATGTGTGAAGTGTTCAGTAATAGTCTGCTTAACAGTAGTACAACTTAGGAGCAGGTACTTAGTAGTAAGAGGCCCACATCCCACATGGGGGTACCTGGGTTCAAATCTGGTTCTGGCTCTGGTTCCTGACTCCAGCCTCCTGCCAGTGCAGAACCTGGGAAGCAGCTGTGATGGCTCAAGTAATTGGATCCTTGCCATCTGTGTGGGAGACCTGGATTGGGTTCCTGGCTCCTGGTTCTGGCTACAGCTCTTGTTAGCATTTAGGGAGTGACCCAGTGGATGGGAGCTAGCCCTCAAGCACTTCCATGTGTGTGTGTCTCTTTCTGTCTCTGTCTCTGTCTATCTCACAAATAGAGGGGAGAAAACAAAACAAAAACCCTGAGAAACGGCCATTTCCCTCAAGCTGATTTATTTTGCTTCTGTTTAGTATAAGATAGAACCCTCAATTATCTCAAATTAGAATATCTTTTCAATCCTTCTTGAAATGCTTAATTTTGATGAAAAGTTCCTGAAAGACATTTCTAGGAACCTACTAGTTAGGTAGCTGGAACAAGTGGCCCATGAAAGGTGTTTAAGAAAAAAGTGTATTGGAGTTTTAAACTTCAGCTACCAGTTATCCTTCTGTAGAATCTAATTACAGTGCTAGTACTTCAAGAAAGATCTTCGTTATCAGAGGTCAGCCTGGAAGATAACGTTTTTACTGCTGCTAAACACTGCTGAGAATGTTGTGGTCTGGTTCAGCTATGCATTGCCCTACCACGGTCTCACTGAATTCAAGGGCTGGGCCCTGCTTTTTTGAAGAAATGGCTGAAAATGGTGTCTCCACGGGTCATCAGACACTCAGCTCTAGGATGCGCGGGCACCCCATGAGCGTGGCTACGGGCTGCCAACTGGGAGTTCCGGAGCACTGATCCCCAACTGCGTCTGTGAGAGACGCCAGGAATCCACGGACATCTTCGTGGAAGCATGTGGGTCTATTAACATGTGCGCTGCGCCAGAATTCAGCATGTCTACGAGGGTGGGCACACCCTGTCTCCGGACGCTGTGGACCGGTAACTCGCAGCCTCATAAAGAGGCTCAGTCTCAGTATTTCTGTGGGAGCAAAGGAGATCAGGCCAAACACAAAAGAAGATGGTAAAGTTTTTTACCCTCTTTCCTGAGGGTAAGTGGCCTTTTTCTCTAAGAGTCTAATTTACCCTCAGCAAGAAGCCAAATTGGCCTTAATTGTGTCCTAATTATTTGCTTAAATAGCTAATCTTTACTTCCTGTCCTCTCACTTCTCTTCAGGAGGCTACTTCTGAGAAGCCACACCATTTACAGCATCTTTTAACCCCTTAGAGCTCCCTGCATGGACCAGCCCCTGGCTCTTCAATCCCCATTCCTGCAGTCAGCATTTCTCATGAGTTCAAATGCATTGAACATTCACCCAGCAGTTACTGATCTCCCACAAAGCATGGAAGCACATCTGGCCCCCCCAAATCCACTTGGGAAATCTAAACTGAACTAAAAATGAAAAAAAAAAAAAAGCCTCCGAGGGAGGAAAGAGAAAAATGGAAAGGGAGGACTGCAAACGGGGCTGGGGCAGGGCAACTGGAAGGCGTCCAGAGTTAGTATGGATGAGTACGCAGTGGCAGGCTGGGGGGATTTAAATCCGTCCTCTGCCCTGCTCAGGAACAGGTCCTTGCACCACGTGAATCTTCGTAAGGAGGACCCTGCTGTCTCAGCTGAGCTTTTCCTTATCACGCCTGGGTTTTCCAAGTTGTGGGAAGATGAGTTTGATATCTATTTATTTTTTATCTATTTATTTATTTTGACAGGCAGAGTGGACAGTGAGAGAGACAGAGAGAAAGGTCTTCCTTTGCCGTTGGTTCACCCTCCAATGGCCACCACAGCCTGCACACCGCGCTGATCTGAAGGCAGGAGCCAGGTGCTTCTCCTGGTCTCCCATGCGGGTGCAGGGCCCAAGCACTTGGGCCATCCTCCACTGCACTCCCTGGCCACAGCAGAGAGCTGGCCTGGAAGAGGGGCAACCGGGACTAGAACCCGGTGTGCCGGCGCTGCAAGGCGGAGGATTAGCCTAGTGAGCCGCGGCGCCGGCCGAGATTAGTTTGATACCGAAAGGTAAGAGGGAATGAGTTCGGGGACAGAGACCTGGAAGAAAGAAAAGCAGGCAAGGTGGCCTAAGATGTTCTTACACACCAGCCAGAGGCAGAAAAAAATGCAGTCCTCCCCAGGGCAAATGACAGGCTGCTCCTTCTGCCTTGTACCCACGTTCCCGGTTAATAAAGTGACAGCGCCCCAGCGCTGGGAGGACTCACGTGAGGCCGAGCCCTGCCGCCTACTTGAGGATGTCGGCGAGCTTCTCCTCGTAGTAGAGGAAGTTCTCCTGAATGTCCTCCCAGGGCTCAAAGGCCTTGGCTTCTCCCTCTTCCTGCTCCACAAAGTTCTGCCAGACGTACTCGAAGTCCTGCGGCTTCATGATGCGCAGCCTGCAGCCAGCCTCCCTCAGCTTCTTCAGCGCAGCCTGGATCTCGGGCTCTTCCCACATGAAGAGCCGCCCCACCAGAATGAGCAGGCGCAGGTTCTTGGTCTTGCCCAGGGTTCTGATGATGCGGTCGGCGCAGGCCGCACAGGGGCTGGACGACACGTACCAGGTGACGTTGTACCGCAGGGCCGGGTCGAAGGCCGGCAGGATGGTGTTGAAGAAGGCTTCCTCGGCGTGGGCGGCCGCGTGCTCATCCTCCAGGTAGCCCCGGGTTGCTTGAACTTGGCCTCCCTTGCCCTGCACCTCGACCACGTAGCAGAGGAAGGTCTTGTTCCGCCCGGAACTGTACTCCACGTTCCGGAACTGGAACTTAAAGAAGTTGACAGGCAGCCGCTCCCTATAGTTCAAGGGGACAAAGGGACAGGGAAGGAGAGAGGAAAATGTTGAGTTGTTTGTAGGGCTGGCCCTGAGAAGGTAGCTCTCCAAGGCAGGTTCACTCTGCCAATGGCAGTGACAGAAAGGCGTGACAAAGTCCAGAAGGGCTTCTCTGGAGGAGAGAATAGGGGAATTCGGGCGGAGATGTGCATTCTGATCACCCCAGCAGGAAGGGAGCCCAAACACCACACCCTGACTGTTTCTAAATCAGTGACCCTTTGACCCCACTGACTATACCTTCGAATCACCTAGAAGACTAAAAATGTCAATGTCTGGGTCCCACACCATATGAATTAAGTCAGACTATCTGGTGAGGGTGCCTGATTTTTTTTTTTTTTAAGATTTATTCATTTATTTGAAAGGCAGAGTTACAAAGAGGCAGAGAGAGAGAGAGAGAGATGTCTTCCATCCACTGTATCACTCCCCAGGTAGCCACAATGGCTGGAGCTGCGCCGATCCGAAGCCAGGAGTCAGGAGCTTCTTCTGGGTCTCCCACGCGGGTGCAGGAGCCCAAGAACTTGGACCATCTTCTACTGCTTTCTCAGGACATAGCAGAGAGCTGGATCAGAAGTGGAGCATCCAGGACTCGAACCAATGCCCATATGGGATGCTGGCACTGCAGGTGGGGCCTTTACCCACAGCACCAGCCCCATGGTGGGGGGGGTGGGGAGCAGTATTTTTATAAAGCTCTCTAGATGATTCTAATATGTGGCCTGGTTTGAAAAGCACAGCGATTTTACAAAGTAGCACGCTTGTGAAATTTCTCACGAGGGAGCAAGACAAAGATTTCGCAGGAATTTCATGCTTTTATTTCTGCTCCTTGCTGTGACTCTTGTAAATTGCATCTCAGGCACAGAACAGCCTTAGCATGCCCTCTTTTTTTTTTTTTTTTTTTTGACAGGCAGAGTGGACAGTGAGAGAGAGAGACAGAGAGAAAGGTCTTCCTTTGCCGTTGGTTCACCCTCCAATGGCCGCCGCGGCCAGCGCGCTGCAGCCGGTGCACCGCGCTGATCCGATGGCAGGAGCCAGGTGCTTCTCCTGGTCTCCCATGGGGTGCAGGGCCCAAGCACTTGGGCCATCCTTCACTGCACTCCCTGGCCACAGCAGAGAGCTGGCCTGGAAGAGGGGCAACCGGGACAGAATCCGGCGCCCCGACCGGGACTAGAACCCGGTGTGCCGGCGCCGCAGGTGGAGGATTAGCCTAGTGAGCATCAGCGCCGGCCAGCATGCCCTCTTAGTGATGATTTCTCAAGTGTGTTTTCCTGCAGGTGAGGGATTGTCACGTGGTAAATGCCTGAGAGTTTTCACCTGTGAGACCAAACCACAGAGAGCATTTGGAATCATTAAGCTTGTGTATAGTGCTGGGTTGCTTTGACATCTTGTAGGGTTGGCCTCTGCCCCCACCCCCATGCTTATAATCAAGCAGCTAGATTCTAACTGGACCGAGACGTCAATAAAACATCTGAGGCCGGCGCCGTGGCTCACTTAGCTAATCCTCCAACTGCGGCGCCGGCACTCCGGGTTCTAGTTCCGGTTGGGGTGCCGGGTACTAGTCCCGGTTGTTCCTCTTCCAGTCCAGCCCTCTGCTATGTCCTGGGAAGGCAGTGGAGGATGGCCCAAGTGCTTAGGTCCTGTACCCGCATGGGAGACCAGGAGGAAGCACCCGGCTCCTGGCTTCAGATTGGCGCAGTGCTGGCCGTAGCGGCCATTTGGGGAGTGAACCAACAGAAAGAAGACCTTTCTGTCTCTCTCTCACTATTGCTCTACCTGTCAAATAAAAAAAATTTTTTTTAAATAAAACATCTGAGAACAGATAATGGTAAGGAGTAGAACAGTCGAGTAGAGGGACACGTTACGAAAAATCCAGAGAGTTTAGCTGTGATTTGGAGACGGATAACTGTTACTGGTTCTTGCGTGGAAGGAATGCGTACAAGTGATGTCCACGGGAGATTACCGTGGTGGCAACAGGCAGATGGAGTGAAGCTGGGGAAAAACCTGGAATTTACAAGGCCCCTGAGATGTCTTAGAATGCCAGGCCTCTGGGAGAATAGTGTAGGTGTCCAGTAGCCTCAGGGGAGGAGAGAATGGTTAGAAAATGAAAGTAGCCAGGCTTTGCGGGAAGTTCGGTAGTAGAAACAAGGAGAGAAAGAGGAAGAGCGAGGGAGGACGGCGTCGGAGTTGAAGATTTCTTATTATTATTTTCAGGTGCATGTGTGTGTGTTTCTAAAATAGGAAGATGCATGCAGGTTTGAAGGCCAAGGAAAATGAAACTTTAAGAAGAGAGATTGAAATGTCAGGGAGAGAGGCGGGCATGGGTGCCGGCTGCAGAGGCTGATTGCCTGCCTTTTGAAAAAGCAATCTCCTGGCTGCTGGGGAAGACAACCTGTGGCCCCATTAGTTCCACTGCTGCCCGTCTCCACCTGTTCTCTTCTTTCTGTAGAGAGGTGACCAGACGCCCTGGGCTGCAGGGGAATCCCTGATGTGTCAAGGCCTTGGCTGTTTAGGGGTAAGCCGGGATGCCAGAGGGCTGAGTGCACTTGAGTGATTGCCCCGCAGGATTCCGCACCCCCCTTCACCAAATACTCTCCTCCCAAGTCTCCCAAGTGTTTCTGTCAAGTTAAGTCACCGCGGTGGAGATGGATGTGTTTGAAGACCCAGCCCCAGGATTCCTTCAGGTGCTATACTTAGCTCTCTAAGCCCCTCTGTGCCTCCCTGGAGGTGTTTATTATTTACTTAGAGTGGATCGCTGATATTTCCCCTCTCATCTTTCCATCCCTGCTGGAAATTCGCTTGAACTTCCAGACCACTCTGCACCCTGCCAGTTGCTAATTGATCCTTTCAGTCGCTGGACTGGCTTTCTGCTTCCGAGAAACACTAAGTTTACCCTCCATGCCCAAACTCTTCTGGCTCTGCAAGGCCTTTTTTGCCTGATCACTGCTCTCCCCACATCCAGTCCAGAACCACCAGTATGATGGCAGGTAGAACCCTTGGAAGTATAAGGCGCGGCGGCGGCGGGCGGGGATATGGGGGGGTGCTTAAAAACTCATGGAAAAATGGGCATTATGGAAAAACTAGGCATGGATCTCAAAAAGTTTTGCACCAAAATAAACTTGTCTCTTAATTTTGTTAAATTGTCTTGGAATTCCAGTGACTTTCTGGAGTACTCTGGTGCTCACGACTACTTGGCTGGCTCGGGGGCTTCAGCAGTAGCTGCCCATGTCATGGCCGCTCGAATCTCCTGGAATCCTTAATGGCATTGTTCCAGCTTCGCCAACCATGACCGGGCCGAAAGTTTGAACTTGGCCCCTCGTGCAGTCACAGGCTGGCTGAAGGGTTGTGAGACACTGCTTCTCCCAGTGCCTCGGAAGTGCTGACCTCTCCCCTCCCTTACCCTCGGCAAGAGTACAGGACCCACAGAAACCCGAAACCCAAGGGAGAGGAAGAAAGGTCACCTCCCTATAAATACCCACGACCACTCCCTCAGGCCAGCAGCCCAGAGTGTACTGTGTCCCTCAGCTGCGGGGCCTCCCAGGCTCGGGGCCCCAGGCCAAAGGAAGACAGGGATGGCCTTTGGGCAGGCTTGCCTCTGGGCTTACTCAGAGACCCAGGTTGTTTGGCTTTCTCAAGGGGCTTGCTGCTCTCAGAATGAGCAGAAAGGTGAAATGAAGCACTTTGGGTTCCCACAAATGAAATCCGCCGGGCCCTGGAGTGGAACCAAGGGTGCAGGCGTGGCAGGGGCCTGCGATTTCTCCAGGGAGTCAGACAGCAGGGCCATCGGGGGATTTGGGAGAATCACAAAATGAGACAAATTAAGCCTGCTAGCAGAGGGAAGGGGATAGAGACACTAATTGCTGAGTTGCAACATTATTTTTTCTAGTAACAGGATGTGCCTAAGTACCATATTTACTTATAGCTCTTTGCTCCCAAGCACAGCAGATATTTCACTCCTAAAGTGCTGTGGGCTGTGTGTGTGTGTGTGTGTTGGAGTGATGGCCGGGAGAGATGCTATGCTGGTATTGGATCCTCCCTCGCATCTGTGATCTCTTCCTGCATAGGAACCAACAGTGTGATTTGTGTTCCCTCCCCCGGCCTCTCTTAGCACCACTCCCCCCTGCTTTCTGCCAACAAGGGCATTCTTGCTTCATCTGCTCAGACCCAGGCTGCTGTGGGGAGGAAACCCAGCATGTCAGTGTCTGGAAGGCATGGGAGTTTGGGCTCCTTGCTGGAGGGGAAGAGATGTGAGTGAGTGGCATGCACCTTTCTCTCAGGCACCCATTTAAGCAGTTTCAATTTGCCAAGCCTAAAAAAGCTGTCCTGGGAAAAGGAGCAACCTGGAGGGCAGGAGAAGCTGGCCCGAGATTAGATGCCAAAGTTCCCAAACAAGCCCTGGTGTGGAAAATCTACTCCCAGGCACTGGGTTCAGCCCTCCCTAACTGGAACTGTCTGTGACCTGCTTGTTTGGGGTGGAGCAAATGCCCACGGCAGATGCCCGGGGTGGGAGTGGTCAGGGAGAGGAGCTCCAAGCAGGAGCAGAGAGTTCTAGCAGCCTGCCCTTCTATGGCAGGGCTCACTGGACTTCCGCCCAGGGCAAGCCTGGAGCCCGCCCCTTTCCTTGGGAGGCACCTCCTTAGGTGCAGCTTTGCCCTCCCACCCAGCCTCCCCAAGGGCCCTGGAGGCAGTCAGTGGACTGGCTTCTCTTCTTTAAGACATACTTCTCAGCATGTGCCAGCGGCTGGGCAGGCGCGCGAGGGTGGGGAGGGGGGTTGACTCCTGGGATTAACAGTGGCGTTGAGGACCCCTCACTCCTTGCCTCTCCTTTCTCTGGACCCTGCCCCTTCTCTCTGGGCTGCTCCTGCAGCCAGAGTAAACTAGCAGTAGCTCACGAAGTGACTGAGAGGAGAATCACCCCATCTGGCATTCAGCTCTGTTCCATAATAATCCTTCTGATGTAGCAGTTTCCCCTATCTGCAAAAATGTACACAACCAGAGGCAAAGACACACGCACAACAGGCGTGCTGCTAGGCAAGGCCATGGTCACTCCGCATTGGGAGACTTGCAAAGGTGGTGGTGGAGGGCAACTAGCTCCTGTGCCCCAGAGCTCCCTGGAAGCTTGCAGCAGCCTTCAGAGGCAGGCAAGAGCCAGGAGAATCCTACTCTGAGGAAATCACCAGACCATCATATGTCTATCCTATGTGCCTAGCCTCTCCCCCAGCCCATCCCCTATCCTAAGGTCTGGCAGACAGCCAACGCACAATGGGCCCTCATTCAGGAGCGGAGTTCCTGCTAGGGGTCAGGTGATGGGGTTAGGGCAGCAAGAAAGACAAAGTCTCTGTCCCGACGGAGTTAAGTATACAAGCAGTCTTCAGGAAATTCAGGGACACGGATTATGGAAAGACTGTGCATGGATTTCCTTTGCACCCAAATGAACTTATCTTAGTTCCACTTTCCCACAAACTTTTGGAAATGCCCTCACACTAACAGGGGAAACAGGCAGTAAATGAACAGTTCCTCCCCCAGAATATTTGCAAATAAAGAAGGGATGCTCGCTGTTGTTTTAGATACACTGGTGACTGCAGCCCAACTGTTCTCACCCTACTCCTTCCACTAACTTCAGGGGAGTTACCGAATCTTCCAAAGTCTGGCTTCCTCCTCTGAGGGCACGGCGAGCCCCGCATCTCGGATTTTAGACAATGGCAGGCATTCGGCAAATTAAAGCTGGCTTCGATGGCTGGGGCCCTGCCAAATCCCAGCCCATCCCCTGCACTGCCACAGCGGTGCCTTCTCCACTCTTCCCTCACCCTCAGAGCTTCCTCTCCTGCAGTGCTGTGCTGCTAAGCATTTAGCACCTAGCTCTCTGGCAGAAAGGAAGACATAGACAGATGATCCCCTATTTCTCATGTCTGCTGATTTCTGAAATTGCAGGCCCCCAGGGTGAAAGTACGGGGCGGAGTCTGGATGGGAGGCACAGAACAGTGGGCTTGAGCCAACTGGAGCCGGCTTCTGCACTGCCCGATTTGCAGCACTCCCCACACTGTCACTTGCCGCGTTACTTCGTGACTAGGCTTAGGTCTGCTTTCTCCCCCAAGGGCCCTGTTCACCCAGGGCCACAGCAAATGCTTCTCCCGTTCCTACCGGGCGCTCCCTGCTCACTTCAGACCGTTTCCTGAAACCCACCTGCCCTTCTGACATTGTCGGCCCCAGATATCAGGAGGCTGTGGATCTACTCCCTGCAGGAGTCCAGGCTCCGAGAGGAGCTGCTTTGCTGACCCCTTTGATTCCAGGGTTCCTGGAGGGGCGAGTGTCCCCTCACGCTGTGCCTGCTGGAAGCCGCAGCCACACCTCCAGGCTATTTTAAGCCGTCTATTTACCCAGAGGGGCCCCGGAGAGGGATGTCCACAGCTGTCACTTGTGACCAGGAAAGCCTCAGCGCTCCTCCTCTCACCTGAATTCCCAGAGTGCTCAGAGAGCCACCCCATGGTGCCACGCTTTCTCAGCCCCCATCACAGCAGAGCCTCTGCCCCTGGGGACCCGGTGGCTGGAGAGGAGGGGAGCTCTGTCTGGGAAACCTGGGGCCCCCGAAGGAGTAGGAGAGCAGCGGGAAGGACCTGTGGCTGAGAGGGCACCTGCCACGCACTGGTTCCCTGGCCGTCTGGAACGTGTCACTCAGTCTCACTGAGTCTCATTGTCTCCCTCTGTAAAGGGGCAGCGGGATCTCTCGGTCTCCAAGCACTGAGCTGGGAGCTGAATGAGTGCACGCACAAGAAAACGTGTTGTGCTGATAAAGCCCTGGGCAAAGGTAAGCGACAGGAGAGGGCTTCAAGCCCCAGGACCCGCGGCCCTGGGAGCCCAAAGCTCGTTCAGTTGAGTAAGTCGAGTCTCATGCTCCTTCAGGGCCACCCCGCCTCTTGCAGAGTGGCTTGCAAGCATGCGTATGTACCAGGGACAGCGTGGACCAGCACGCCTAGGTGTCTGTAAAAGGATCTTCTCCCAGAAGAGAGCCCGTGGAGCTGAGGCCTCTCCTGGCCTGGTGGCCCCAGGCTTTTCCTGTGTCTATATTAATCTGTGCCCAGCTGCTCCCTTAATCCCAGGATGCGGATGAGGCTAGTTGGGTGAGTGCAGGCAGAGAGAACGTCACTCTGCTCAGGTTCTCTTAGAAATCAGAAAATACCTGAGCTGGGAGGGATCCTGGGGAGGAGCTAGCACAGCTTCCTCCTGTTTGGAAACCATACAAACAGAGGCCGAGACTGGGAAAACACCGAGCTTCAAACAACAAGTTCTGCTGGTTTTAATGGTGGGTCCGTGTTGCCCCCCAGGCTTCCTTCCCAGGGCACCATCCTACTGCCCCTCCCCTACCCCCCAACTTCTCTGCCCGTGGGCGTTGCTGGTTGCTGGAAACCCCGGAAGGAAACCTCAAGCACAGGAGGAAATGCAGCCCCACTATTCCTTCTTAGCCTTTGCTTGTGAGTTTCCCAGGGCCTTCCCCTGCAGGCAGATAGTGGGCAGAGGAGGAAACCAGAGACTGAGGGATCCCATGCACACCCCCTCTCTGGAGCCTCTCCACCCTGTCTTTGCTTGGGGCCCTGGCTTCTGCACACTGGAGCCGGGGGTGTTGGATCAGCGCCTCTCTGTGTAAGTGCCTGGGTTGCATGACCTGCGCGTCCCAGTCTGTGCTTCCTTAGGGCTGGGTGTGGACAGCCCCTGGGGAGACTCCGCAGAGACTCAATAAGTAAAGCCTACTTCTCACCCAGGCTTGGGCGAGGAGGGCTCTCACTTCCCTGTCCTAGGATCTTCTGCTCCTGAGAGGAGCCCTAAGGAAAGTGCGAGACACACACAGATAGAAGGGACACCCGCCCAGAGGCACAGAGAAGCCGGGGGGCGGGGGGGCATGGTACTTGGGGACCCTATTGAAATGTGCCAGACTCATCCTCATCCTCACCAAACTCCCTGAGGCTACCTACCCTTCCACTGTCCCCAAACCAGTGCTCCCGCGGGGTGGCTGCATTCGCTGGGCCCTTGCCACCAACGTGCTCCTATGACTTCCCTGATTCTTTGCTTCCCCAAGAATCCAAGAGAGAGAGAGAGAGAGAGAGAGAGAGAGAGAGAGAGAGAGAAACTTGCCGCTGGGTTCCCTTCAGCCCCTGCCCTGCACACAGGTGGCGGCTCCCTGCAGCAGCGTTAGGCCCGAGCCTGGCCTCTCCCAGGGAGGAGGGCCGTGGCCCACATGCCAGTCTTACCCTGTGACAATCTCAAAGGGTGGCAGCTCGATCAGCTCTTTCAACTTCTCAGGGTCGTCCAGGTTGTCCAGATCCTCGCCCCCCTCCCCATTCTGGGAGGCAGGCGCGGCGGCCGCAGCGGCCTCTTCTTTCTGGGCCATTGGAGGGGTTGTGGCTTGGGAGTCACTGAGACCGGAGAGCTGGCGGGCTGGGCCGGGGCCTGGCGGCAGAGGCCCAAGCAGCTGTCAGCAGCTAAGCCTGGCTGAGGATGACGGGAAGAAGCTTCCTGCTCGGGGCCCCTGGGCTACAGGCTTTATAACCAAGGCCTCCTGCCCCTCCCCCAGGCCCTTTCTCTCTGTCTTTTTTTAATTGAGTGACGGCGGGTGCCGGGGTGGGGGAATGGAAAGTCTGGCCCTCAGGAGCCCCTATTTATCAGTGGGCAAGGACAGGAAGCTGGCAGGTGCGCACGGCTGGGCCTGCCTCCCTCCTCTCACCGTATACTCTTCCCTTTGTTGCCCACTCAACTTTTCCAACTCCCAAAGGGAGCCTGTGGAGAGGGTTCCAGGGCAGGCGTCCTGCTATTTAAGAGAGAGGCCATCCCAGAATTCTGAAAAGGAGAAGTCGCGTTAAAAGGGGGCGACCACAAAGAGCCCCAGGTAGTTTTCACTGCGAGGGAAGCTTGGGTTCAGCAAAGGAGGGTCCTGGGCGGGGGTACACCCTGAGAGTTGGGAAGAAAGTGTGAGCTGGGAGCCAGAGGGAGCGGGACCTGATTGGCCTGTTGGGAACCCTGGCTGCAGTGTCAGATCAGCCAGGAGCCTCGGCTGCTGACAGCAGAGGCCTTTTGCTAAGCTCAGAGTGTTTTCTTTTTTCTTTTCTTTTTCTTTTTCTTTTTCTTTTTCTTTTTCTTTTTCTTTTTCTTTTTTGACAGACAGAGTGGACAGAGAGAGAGAGAGACAGAGAGAAAGGTCTTCCTTTGCCGTTGGTTCACCCTCCAATGGCTGCCGCGGCCAGCGCGCTGCGGCCGGCACACCGCGCTGATCCGATGGCAGGAGCCAGGTACTTCTCCTGGTCTCCCATGGGGTGCAGGGCCCAAGCACTTGGGCCATCCTCCACTGCACTCCCGGGCCACAGCAGAGAGCTTTTTTTTTTTTTTTTTTTAATTTTTAGCTCAGAGTGTTTTCTGAAATGGGCCAGGGGCGAGTTTGGTGGCTTGCATGTGAAGTCAAACTTCATGCTCTCAACAGCCCCAGGAGGCCACGCGGGTGCTCCCTCTGTTATGTCCGGGAAAGTGAGAGGCACAGAGGGGTTGAGGGCCTTGGCTAAGGTCAACACAGCTCATCAGTGGCAGCAGCAGGATGAGAACGTAGGCTCTCTCACTTGGAGGCCAAGTCCGAGTCCCTCACAGTCATTTAGCGCGATACGTGGTGGGCAGCTCCTCCATGCCAGGCACTAGTTCAGGTCCTAGGAATACGGCAAATAGAGCACATAGCAATTGCTGTCTTCATGGAGGTAGATGGAGCCTCTGAACTCCATGCGTAGTTTTTTTGTAATACTCATTTCCATGAACTTTTGAAGATGCCTATGATCATGGATTTCAAAGTTCTTTCACATACATAAACTTATTTTTTACTTCCACTTTCTTTCTATGAGGTTTTTGAAATACCCTTGTATTCTAAGGAGAGGAGGAGCAGGTGCAAAGATCCTGCGACAGGAGGATCCCGTGTGTGTTTGAGGGGCTCTCAGGGTCACCTGCATGGCTGGAGAGACCTAGGGGATGAGACCAGGAGACAGGAAGGGCTAAAGAGGCTGGGCCATAGGGGCTGTCTTGTCTTTTCTTTTCTTTTTTTCTTTTTTCTTTTCTTTTTTTTTTTTTGTCCTTGGCCTTCTCTCTGTGTGAAATGAGAAGCCTTTGTCTCTCAACAGATGGGATGCATGATCTGAGCCCTATTTTTACAGGATCACCCTGGCTGCAGGGTTGAGATTAGACCAAAAGTGAGAGGGGAGAGCTGCAGGGACCCAGGGAGAAGCCTCCTGAAACTACAGCGAGGTGCCTAGGGCTCTGGAAAAGGCCCTGAGCTGGAGTAACCGCGGAACACGGCTTGGGCAGCTCGCGCAGGCAATGCAGATGCTCTAGAACATTCTCAGGAACACAAAGGGGAGGGTCAGGCTCACCTGCAGGTTGAAAAGGAGCAAGCTAGACCACAAGCTAGACCACTGGGAAACCAGCCTGAAAACAACTGCAGAGAGGGGAGATGGGCGGGGCGGGGGGGATGGGAAGGTGGGGTCTGGGGAGAGAAGGAGGCAGGGTGGTATGGAGGGCCTGGACCACCTCCTCTGAGGGTTCTGGGAAGCAGAGAACCACCACTGGGCGGCGTGTGGTCCTCACACTGGGTTTGCCTGGGGTGGCTGGCTTCTCTCTGTTGTCCAGTAATCACTGCTAAAAGCACCCCTTTCTCTCGCAAAAGTGTCCCAGCATGGGCAATAAGTTATGTGGTCATCCTACTTATTACATATAGGACTGAAATCATTCCTTTTTTTAAAAAAAGATTTATTTATTTATTTTAAAGGCAGAATGACAGAGAGACGAGAGAGAGAGAGAGAGAGAGAGAGAGAGAGAGAGAGACATCTTCCATCTGCTGGTTCACTCCCCAAATGCCCTCAATAGCTGGGGCTGAGCCTGGTCAAAACCAGGAGCCAGGACCTGCATCCCTGTCTCCCACATGGGTGGCAGGAAGCCAAGTGCCGGAGCCATTGTCTGTTGCCTCCCAGGTGCATCGGCAGGGATCTGGGTTGGAGGCACAGAGTAGCCAAGACGCAAGCAGGCACTGTGATGTGGGATACAGGCATCCCAAGTAGCACCACAATGCCTGCCCATACTAAAAAGCATCCTGATCCAGAGATGATTGCTTCAGACATTCTCCCGGAGGAAAAGCCCCGAGTGGAGGTCATGGTGCCCGTGTCTGCAATGAAAAGGAGCTAAGTAGTAGCCAATAAACAGGGAAGACGGTTCATGCCTCGCAAACGCACAACGCTTGTACCCAGAGTTGACTTCATTCTTTTACTTAATCAACACTTAGTGGGAGCTCCTGTGTGCCAGGTCCATGGCCAATGCCGATCATACAGGGATGAATGAAGGACTTCCTGGCCGGGGGCTAGCAGTCATTATGACATGAGGGGCACTAATCAGCTCTCGGGCACATCTGCATCTCCATTGGGCCTCACATCCCTCTCACGTGACTGTGATGTATTGACTGTGATTATTGTGATTTATTGTATTTTGCAAGTTAAGGAACTGTGGCTTAAAAGGTGAAGTGAGACTGGCGCAGCGGCTCACTAGGCTAATCCTCCGCTTTGCAGCACCGGCACACCAGGTTCTAGTCCCGGTCGGGGCGCCGGATTCTGTCCCGGTTGCCCCTCTTCCAGGCCAGCTCTCTGCTGTGGCCCGGGAGTGCAGTGGAGGATGGCCCATTGGGCCCTGCACCCCATGGGTGACCAGGATAAGTACCTGGCTCCTGCCATCGGATCAGCGCGGTGCGCCGGCTGCAGCGCGCCGGCCGGGGCGGCCATTGGAGGGTGAACCAACGGCAAAGGAAGACCTTTCTCTCTGTCTCTCTCTCTCACTGTCCACTCTGCCTGTCAAAATAAATAAATAAATAAATAAAATAAAAAAAGATGAAGTGATTTGGGCATGACCACACAAGGGTCTGAGTCCCGGACTGCGGAGCTTAAGTTCGGTCTTATTTCCAGGGCTGTACCCAGCTCCCCATGAGTGAACATCTCTGAAGTGTTCCGTGACGTGCTCGGATCAACTAAGGGGGCGGAGAATGCCTTGGGGAGGTGAGGGGGGTGCACCCCTCTTCCGGTTCACTGGTCCCCTGTGAGAAAGACTGCTTCCCTAGGGACACATTTTGACTGTCCGGTATAACTTTGGATTAGGAGGCCAAGAAACAAAGCATATGTGGGGGGAAGTCCATCTTTGTATTTCCGTCTCTGCCCCTGCTCCACCGAATGACCTTGGCCAAAACACTTAATGTTTCTATTTTTTTTCATTCGTTCGTTCTTTCTGACAGGCAGAGTGGACAGTGAGAGAGAGAGACAGAGAGAAAGGTCTTCCTTTTGCCGTTGGTTCACCCTCCAATGGCCGCCGCTGCAGCCGGCGCACCGCGCTGATCCTGGCAGGAGCCAGGAGCCAGGTGCTTTTCCTGGTCTCCCATGGGGTGCAGGGCCCAAGCACCTGGGCCATCCTCCACTGCACTCCCGGGCCACAGCAGAGAGCTGGCCTGGAAGAGGGGCAACCAGGACAGAATCTGGCGCCCCGACTGGGACTAGAACCCAGTGTGCCGGCGCCGCAAGGCGGAGGATTAGCCTAGTGAGCCGTGGCGCCAGCTAGTATATTTCTTTTAAAGTGTGTTTAATCATTCATTTAATCAGCCAGTCAACAAAATCGTCTGAGGCCCTGTGCTGCCCTTGGGTTGGAAATCCAGAGGTGGGTAGGACACACATGTGGGTTCCCTCCTGGGGTGCCAGTGGCCTGCCCACCTAGGAAGAGGACAGGCTGCAGTCTCCCTGTCCTGGCTGGGTTCTGCCAGGACCCAGATCCCTTCTCAAATGCTGCTGCCCTGTGGGCTCCTCCCTCTGCCAGGTCTTTGTTCCTCACCTAAGAGGATGCCTTTCATTTCAGCCTCAAAACAAGGTTCATGGGACCATGGGTTGTCAAGGCTAACAGAGCCCCAAGAGAGGATCTATGCCCAGAGCACCCCAATTTCTGATGGAAGTGTCTGGAGCATGTTAAATCAGACATTGTGAGTCACAGGACTTTAGTGGGGCCTGAGGAACATGCATTGCTTTAAAAGCTCCCAAGGAGCCAGCTCTGTGGTGTGGCAAGTGAAGCTTCCCCCTGCAGTGCTGGCATTCTCATATGGGTGCAGGTTCTAGTCCTGGCCGCTCCACTTCTGATCCAGCTCTCTGCTATGGCCTGGGAAAGCAGTAGAAGATAACCCACCCTGCACCCGCATGAGAGACCCAGAAGAAGCTCCTGGCTTCAGTCGGCGTAGCTCTGCCCTTGCAGCCATTTGGGGAGGGAGCCAATGGATGGAAGACCTCGTTCTCTCTCTGCCTCTACCTCTCTGTAACTCTGCCTTTCAAGTAGACAACTAGATCTTAAAAAATAAATAAATAAAGCTCCCAAATCATCCTGGCACACGCTCAGTCCTAGTTCTCAGCCTTGACTGCACCTGAGGAGGTCCTGGGGTGTTCTAGAAACACAGTGCTCAGCCTCATGCCTGGATAGTCTGATCACTGT